GTCGGCCTGAACTTTAGAGTGTGTGAAATTGAGCACGAAGTTTCATGTCAAGAATCTGCATGCTGAAAGGACTTCACTCAAGATAAACTTTTCGAAACAAACAAGTTCAAGCAAACTGCCTAACACCACAGCAATGGGGCGAGGTTGTGTAGCAGGAAAACGATCCAAAGATCATCTCTTCAAGAAAACAAGTCCTTAGGGGGAATAGTGTAGCGGCGTGCTAAGGCGCGTGCCGGGAACCACCGAAGACGACGACGAAGCGCGTGCAGACGGCGCGTGACACACTTCTAATTTGGTCTGATTTGGCTGTGGACATCCTCTTGTAAATTAAAAACGTAACAATATGTTTCTAGGGAAAGTCTAATAAAAGCGAAACGTTAAAACATTGAAAAAGTGAGAACAATACATCAAAGTCGGACTCTTTTTTCTTGCAATTTCTTGCAGGGATGAACATTCACAATACTGTCTTCAAACTGAACTTTAAAAAAAATCACTGGTATTATGAACTGTTTGTGAACAAATCTAGAAAATGATTGCCGTTTACAAAAAGAACGCCGAATCCTCGAATGACCGGAAACGTTCGATGAGGAAACTGCACATCGCATTTAAAATTACTTAGTTTGGTGTATTGTGTAAGCGTAGTTAACTCTCATTAGTCGAAATGAAGGTTTAAAAAATGTTTAAAATAATACCACTTCACGTCTATGCAAGTGCCTTTATGCTGTTCTTAATGAAATTGCTTTTCTTGGTGTGTGTCCAGTCTTTTACTTTCTAAACTATTATTTTACTGCCAACTTGACTTCACTGATGATGTATCGAATATGGGAGACAAAATGTCTGATATTTTAAACTCTGTAGTTTGTTTCACCAAGATAGGTCCCGGCTTCTGGAACCATTCTTGTATTTTTTTCTCCAACTATTATTTTACTCGTGGCAGATTCACGAGAGTCTAATTTTGTACCACATTAAAATGTAATGTCTCAACAAAGAAAGTCGGTGTCAACGAAGTTTGCAACCCGATCAAGGGAAGTCCGGGAATCGGCACTTTGTCAATGATAATTTTGTTTTGCCTTCGTTTAGGAAACGCACTTGTCGGCTATATCGTCTTATAAAGTAATACGATATAATTAAATGCAATACAATAAAATAGAATATATTGAAGCAAGCATAAGTTGGCGGCTCTTGTGGAACAAATATAATTATACCATATTGGAGCTAAGATTAAATTTGGATGTGTGCATCTTTGAACATATTATCACATAAGTATTCAATACTCTTAACCTGTGTCTGCTGGAGCCACTATAACTGAGCTTCTTTTAAAGTAGTGACAATTAATTTCGTGATTGACTTGCAGACACCTCCCTTTTGTTGTCTAGTGCAGAGCAGGTCCAATTAGCGATAGTTATGATTCGAAAATGTGACTTCCTCAACTATAAATACAGGGAGCTCAAATGGTTATGCTCTGCTGCGTCACGAACTGTTTTTAATATTTATGGAAGCCGGGGAAGCGTTTTTTGCGATTTGAGAACAAAACGTACTGATAACTGCCAGCAACATGATTTTGAGCAGCAAGGTGACTCAATTCCGTGGCTTATTTCTGTTAAAGGAACATTTCTTTTTATTCACGTTGACATAAATCTCACATACTATGAGTATTTTATTGGGGTGCATTGTAAAGCGGGACACGTGCTTAATTAGAAAAAAAAAATGCTAAGCCTAGTCTTATACCCTAAATACATTAGCGCTCTTAACTGTCATTAAAGGGACCATGAAACGATTCTGAAATCGAATTTCATTCACCGATCGTCGTAAAAGGTGTGAAAAGAAACACAAAAACACAAAAAAAGGGAGCCAAAAAAAATTCTTCGCTATAAAAATTTTAAAATAAAACTGGACTCCTTTGCGCCTTCTTTCCTTCGAAAGCTATCTGGCTTTTCACTGCGATGCATCCGCGGAATCGCAGCACGTCAGCCGAATCCACGTCGCCTATTGGGTAAGAGCCTACCTCACCAGCACCGCGATCGTAAACACTAAATAGCCGGCGAATGTTTCCTAAAAGTTGCGTTAAATATTATTCAGATCCACATTTTGTAGCATAATTAGAGATGTGACTAAAATTGCCAAATGTGATAATGCTTAGAGCCAAGCGCCATCTATCGTTTGGTAAACGAAGCAACTACAGTAGTAGGGCGGTAGAGCGTAGGGCCGACAGCGTCGCTCAGTTGCTTTGTCGCTGCGACCAACGAACGTTTAATTTTTTACGCGTTCTTCTCGCGCGTCCCGACTTCAAGCAGCAAGAAAGAAGTACTTGAAACAGACCACGACGAACAAGAACGCTGGATCCACAAACACCCAAGAAAAGCTACAACGGCGACGAATCCACCGACCCAGACCAAGCGAGCTCGGCAGATGGGCCTAGCAGGCACTCTAACTCGGCGCAGCGTTGCTTCAACGGTACTTGGCAGAGACCGTCCGCCCACGACCGGCTGGCGTGCTGTATAGAATATGTCCGCGGGACCCCTTGTGGACCCTTCCCGTATTATAGTTTGACCGCTGACCTCAATTTTAGATTAAGAGGTGAGGTCGATCTCTTCCCCTTGTTTTCCGAGGCAGTGTTGACGAACACTCGTCGAAAAGGGACTCTCGTCGATTCTATCATGTTTCGTGGGATACAGAGCTCAAATAAACGCCGTATGGATTGCCTTCGTAACACGGTACGTATACACTTCGTTATTAGTGTGACATTTTTATTCTGACACGACTGCACGTCACTGTCGAGCTATAACAGTTCGTGGGAGCTACGTGCAATGCCGGTCCAACCTTCCTTTGCCGAGTGTCACGTCAGTATCGAGTAGCAATCATAAAAGATCGGTCCCGAAGCGCTTACCAACAGCGCGAATACCGCACTTCCATCAAACGCGCGCGTCCGCTCCGAGTGTGAACAGGTATTTACGTGGCTCTTGCTGACACTGTCGTAGTTCAAACGTATCTTTTTTTTTTCTTTTAACATCGGCTCGCTCCTGCATCTCTGAGGCCGCGAAAAACGCCGCGGCAATTTGTTTCCATCTACGTCGCTTTGCAAACGACTGACACGGGCCGCCTTTTACCAACAATGACAGTTGGGTTGACTTCTGGAGTCTTCACAGGAAGACTCGCCGCACTTCCCAACAAGCATACCGGCGTATGGGACTAGTCCCATGCTGTCGCTGTAGCGCAACATATCTAATTGAATTTCGCTCAGCTGCAATGTGTCCATGGCTATCGCGGCGATGAGAGGCGCCGATTCAGAAAATACGTCGGTGACATCAGCGCCATCAGCGCAGTAAAACGTACCGGCGCGCAACCAACTCGCCGCCGTTAACGCTCCCATTCTCCTATACAGCCGAGAGAACTTCCGGTTCCTGTGCCAGAGTACGCCACGACCGTCAAAATTACGCCCCAACTTGTTTTGCGGTTAAAGACAGAAAAAGTCGATATTTCACTAATTTTTTGTGTGGAAGTTAAAAAACTTAGACGAAAACGGATGCTTTTCGACATTCAGTGAACGTTGAAGGTTTAATGTAAAAGTTATCTGGCAAAAATAAAAACGTCATTTCGTGGTCCCTTTAAGACAACGACAGTTGACTCAATCGCGGTCAGTTGGAGTTACACGGCGGCGCCAAGTGTCACTGAGCCGCTAACGATCATTGAGTTCAACTGAGCTGGCCTACCTCAGTTAACTGATGGGGGAACGATGGCGGCGTCTGCCGCGTCGCCGCGTGGCCGTCCATGGCCAGCGCCAGCGAAGCACTTCCTATTACGGAAGATTAGGGAAGGTATCTAGAAAGTATCATAGCAGCAAATATTGTCGGAAAAGGTATGATTGGGGGCAAGAGCTACTTCTAGAACGATCACAGAACATCGCGGAAGCCAAAACTCGGCGAGGGCGATCATTGTGATGTCGGTGCGGATATCACTTTCGTCTTGTTTCTCTTGCTTAAATTCGTGTGAAACGTTCTGATTATTGTTTATTTACTCCAATAATAAGAAAAGAGTTTTTTTTTTAAAGTTTATAATGAATAAAAAGTGTGAATATAATTCATTTGCATCACTTTAAAAAAAAGGGTAATGTGAGATAAGTTTTGGTTTTGTTTCGGTTTCAAATGTGTCCCTTGACGCGCACCTCAAGTGTGGTTGTTAGGAATTTGTGCCGTGTAAGACCGGACACCTTAGTTGATATCAATGACAGTTGGGATAGGCCAACGATCGTTGGCTTAATTACAGCTGAGAGCGCTAGTGTAACTAGGCGATTACATATACTAGTATTGGGCGTTTTCTACATGCCCGCACATGCTTCTTCAGTATTAGCTCAGGGTGTATATTTTGTCTTTTCTTTTTTTTTGGGGGGAGGGGGGGGGAGTGGGAAGGGGGGGGGGGGTGGCTGGGGAAGTAGACATGCACGTCTTGTATACAAAATGTTCGTGTGAGTTTGAGGGGATTGATGCTAATTCTTTTGTATTATGGAAGACGAAATAATGGTGATTTTGTTATAATTTTGTATAAAACCTTTATGTGCAGGTATGCCACCCTTATAAGTTTTCAATAGAAAAATATCATTTTATCTCTCACTTTCATCCATTTAATTTTCCTCTCAGCCATGCTGATACATGCGCCAATCGTAGGTAACCTTCTATTGGACTGGTATGTTTACCTTTTATCACGAAACGGCTCTCTACAATAAACACATAAATTCAACATTAAAAAACGCAAACCAATGTGTAGAAATTTATAGCTTAATGAATATAGGATAACACTTCATAGTAGGGATGCACGAATAGTGGTTCAAATCAAATAGCTCCGTGTCGTTCATATCCTTCGGAGTGCTGGAGAAACCCCCGACATACCACCATTCTTTCCAATGTTCAAGTTAAAAATGACGCTTCGCTATTCAATTCTACGCAGTATTTGCACGTCCCTACTTCAGAGGCTTCGATTGGGCCACTTTTAGGACGACAGGATCTTCAATCAGTGGTTTCACAAAGCTGCTCTTTCGTAAGATCGAGAATGTACTTGTCAAATACTTTCTTGGGCGTGTGGCACAAAAAGTAGTGCCACTTGCTCGGGTAGGCCAACATGAATTGAAGATTGCAGTCACAATGCACCGGATTGACTGAAAAATAAGAAATAAGCAGGACATCATGCTAAAACCGCCAGTTAGAACACTGCATGCATAAAGAGCCTTTTAAAGAGCGAATCAATAAACGACGAGAAAATACTTTTGTTCCCTGAAAATGACGCTATCACAATTCAATTGGCAAATCGTTCGTGCGTGTTTCCTGTCTGAATTTTTGTAAACCAAAGGCAATGAACATTTATTTTTGCAATACTTAAGATAGAATAAATGCTTGCGCGTCTTAATACTTACACATCATGTTCACTTGAACGCCGAATCTGTTCAGGAGCCCGAGGGGTAGTTCTTCGAATGTAGTGATGCGGTTACGTTCCACGTTGACAAAAGCAAGAGAGGGAATACTTTCATCCAACCCCTCTGGGAACTTCGTTAGCAAGTTTCCCCTGGAAAGTAAATGTAATAAATAAAAATAACGCTTTGTGGCATTCTTACTGGCAAATATCGAGAAACTCTGCTTACACCATTAAAGAAAAGCAATAAATAAACAAATACCGTACTTTCCGAATTAGAGTCCGCATCCGGCGCTTAGTAAGCAGGGGCGAATGGGGGGTCAAAAATATGTTTTTGCTTAGATAGTCCGCACCCGGTACTTATTGTGCACGTCGTGCATTGTTCGCTCGTCGCGCCTAATCCGAACGTAAACATTAACATACACATATACAAATGTCAGTTGCATTGGTTCGCAAAAAGTTTGTATCATACATAAATAAACATTAGCATACTCAGTTATTCATAAAATCATTCACGTCTTGTACAGTAAACTATCTTGAAAAAAAAAAAAACCGCATCTCTATGTGGTGAATGATGTTGATTGGGGCGAAGCTCTGGTGGTGCTTGTCTGCGTAGACGGTGAGCCGCAGCATGCCGAGCCTTTCGTTCGTTTTCATCCATATCACGCTGTGGTCAAATGCTGAAATCCGTATATAACCACGTTTCATATATACCACACATTCTCTTTCTGACATGGAGGAAAACGAACGAAAGACTCGGCATGCTGCGGCTCACCGTCTACGCAGACAAGCACCACCAGAGCTTTGCCCGAATCAACATCATTCACCACATGGAGATGCGTTTTTTTTTTGCCCTACACGAGCACGGGAGCACGTGCTCACGTGCTCGTGAGCACGTGAGCGCGTGAGCTCACGAGCAGGAGCACGTGCACCCGACGGCGGACGGACATACGGACACGGCTAGCCCCTAAGGAGCTTCGCCCCTAAAACAAAGAAAACAAACTCTTGTATTGTCCCCACCTGGAGATAATTCTGCAGTTTTCCATCCTTCCTGTTTTGTTTAGATTTGAATCTATCCCGCAATATATTTGTTTTTATTAATGAAATACGACCTATGCCACTAATGGTCATCGTAATATCCTTAGTCTAATTAACAATTTTTGCTATATGACCAATATAAATTGCTTATATCGTAGGTTACCTGAGCTCCTTGTCCTTTTCGCTGCGGTATATTATTTCGCATGAACGGGAGGGGAATAAATAACTATATGTTCCTCTCGCATGGACATTTAAATAGTATCCTATACGTACGAGCTACACCTTTACAAAAGCAATTGCGAGCATGAGCGCCAGGTTCCTTAGCGTGTAGCAATGCACACATAACATCGCGCGCCTAAACATTTCTTGAAAACAATGCACTCTGAAAGTTGAAGATATCTAATGTCAGCAACAAATGTCTCTGAGGATTCCGTGCGTTACTTTTAAACTACCGTGACTACAGCAACAGCTTTCTCACAAATCGAAATATGATAGTGGTCTAGTTGCGTCAACCAATCATAATACAAGCTGGGTTGTAAGTACCATGTAAAAAGCGGGCATATCTTAGTTTTCCGGGAATAAAAGCATTCTCAGCAGATGTAAATGTACTGCACCTCATGCCCGAGATAAAACCAACTCACGGCAGATCCAGCGTCGTGAACCTAGGGGCCGGACGGGGCAGCCACGACCGCGAGAAATTTCGGAGGTCTGTTTCTCTAATCACCAGTGCCTCCAAGTTGCTAAGTGATGCTAGCCAGTCCGAATCAACACTGCTGATGTTGCACGCGACGATGTACACCGTCTTCATGTTCTGATGCAGAAGATTGAAGTCCCTAGTCAGGTTGAGTCCCACGTAGTGCACGAGCTGAACCTCTTCCATCTCGTACATGTTGCTCAGCATACCCCATGATCCTGGAAGGCTGCTACCGTAATAGAAATACACTCGACGAAGACTGCTCTCAAGTCCGGAGAATGGATTCGTCTCTTGCGTGTTCTGGTCGAACGCATCGACTGTCACAAACTTAAACTGAAGGACGGCGACGTTAAGGCCAGCAAAGGCCCCAGGAGGAATGAAAGGGACGTGGCTGTTTTGAATCAAGAGCCATGTGGGTTTGTCTGAGGGCTCCCGTGGCAACGTTTCTCTGAAGTCTGCGGCAGAGTCGAAGTTGTCGCACGTTATCCGTCGGTACTTCAATTCATCAATCGTCTTGCACGATGGCGCTCCAGAAGCCAGGCTAAACGCGCAGGCTACAAGCGCCCACGTAGATACAGCGACCACGGATGCCATAGCACTCGGTCTTTTATGTCGCGATAACTGAAAAGGCGCGTTGACGTTGCTTCAGTTTTATACAAGGGGAGCCAAGATTATTTTTGTCCGCCAGGGATGTTCAAGGCTGCTTGATGATGAGGTTCTGTTTGCGGACGTGAGCGGGCTCTTGAAAAGGAAACTGTTCGCCATCAGCAAGCGCGTTTCGACGGCATGGTGTTGTTTGATTTTTGCTTCGAATCTGTTTTGCTAGAAGAAACAAAACACAAATTGTCTCTTGCAATTTCAGCAGAACTGTTTAGGGTAAATTTTAGAACGGTCTGAATAATATTTTTAGTCTTTCGTTTTAGGATTAAGACCTCTTTATAAGAAGATCTAGAATATGGGAAGGGGAGAGGGACTGGTGGTAAGAGGTATAGTTTGACAACCTTGACACAGGAGAAAAGATACGAACATGGGCTCCAGGCACGCAGGCGGGGAGGGGGGGCGGCAAGGGGCCTGCCTCCCCCCCCTCCCCCCGATATCTTCCATTTTGCTGGGACCTCCTCTCCCCCTTTCCCCCCTCCCCCTCACACAGCATTTTCTCATGGGCGCCCCCCCCCCCCAAATAAAATCCTGGCTACGTGCCTGACATGCACAAATATAATACTCGCAAAAGCAAGAGCAACAAGGAATGGAACGGTAAGTATACAACATATTAACGGAGTAAATATCTCCGCTTTAAAGTATTGAAACTAAAAGCGCACGCAGATGCTAGCAGAATAATTAAGCAGGCAATACTTAAAATAAAATTTATACTAAACCTGAAACCAGAAAAATATCACAAAGAATTGTGTCTAATTGGCACTTACAAACAAATATTGGTATAAGAGTATGATGGAGTTCACAAGTTTGCCTGTGCTTTTACCTTTGGTCGTCCCATCTGAAATTTTTTAACGATTAATTATTCATCAGAAATGACGACGGAGCTTTTGGTAAAAGTTTCGTATTAGAAAGTTAGCAATTAACGGGAATTCACGGTTCATAATAAGTACAGTTTCTCAGACAAAATTTATGACCCCCCTTCACTTTTCCCCTTTTTCCCACTCCAATTTGTGTTAGGAACACACTTCACAAGACGACAGTTCAAGTGGATCCGTGTACCTAAAAAAACTCAAACCGATGGCAAACGCTACAAAAAACACTAATATTCATTTCCGAAAATAAAATAGGATTTTGTTCTCTTAATGCAGATTACATTGATAATTCAAAGCCTTTTATGAGCTTATGTGTTTGGCAGACACGCTCAAGGCACTTTGCGATAGCGCTTTTCGAAGTCCATCGATAGATGAAGGGACATACGGCATGTGGAGCGAAATATGCCGCCTATATGATCGCCCGTACAAAAATGTAATATCTGGCCCTGGTATATATAGATAATCGCTTAAAAGTACGTGAATATAGGTGCATAATTAACGTATTTAAGCACTCTTTTCTTCCAAGAACAATACTGGAATGGAACAATTTATCAACTGATGTCATATTTGCGGCACCTTCCTCCTTTCCTACTGCCGTAAAAAACTTACTGTTGGAATAATTTTTCACTTCACTCTACTAATAGTGTCAGTCACTATACCTTGTTTTCATATATTGTACAAAGTGTTGCATTTTTCTCCTACGATGTCATATCCACTATTTCTACGTCACAATAGTTCTTGTGTATCTCTATATTTATCGTTTGCTATTGTTTTGTATTCCCTTATCCCCTTACAATAATGCCCAGAACTGGGCGATGTAGGTATTCGAATAAATAAATAAATAAATATGTGGGCTTATATGATAATATAAGGAGTCAAAACTGGCCGCATAACGATATGTACACCAACTCATGTTTACAAACAAACCGGAGCGCCCGATGCGCCCCTAGCGGACGCCACCGGTGCCGCGCATACGCGATGGGGGTGTGGGCAGAAGCTCGCCGTCGCCCATAAACCAACCATTGAAATGCGATGTTGTCGGCGTCGGTGTGAGTCCCCGCGCTCTTTTTGGCGTTGAAATTGTTGATTCTACGTCCTCCTAAAGATGTCTGACTACTTGAGCGGCGTCAGCGAAATTACCGAGGCTCGTTACACCGCAAAACTTCGCGTGAATCATCTGACATGCGGCGATTCATTCCGCGTGGACGCCGCAGAACGTACGCTAAAGCCTGATTCGCATGACGAGATTTCGCTCGCAGTTTTCAGTAGCGACGTCGCTCGGACTGAAAAAGCGTGAACCGTAGCTTAGATCGTCGACGTCGATACTGAAAATCGCAAGCAGAACCTAACCAAGTGAATCAGGAATCACAAGTCGGTGATGGCCACTGGTAACAGTGATCAACATCTCCTTGTATCTACTGTTTACGTCGAACCTGCTTACCAACCTTCAAACTTAAGTCTTTTGAGGCCTGCACTTACTTCTTATCGCAAGTACCAGGCCCACGTTTGGTCTACGGGCCGGTGTCCTCTAAAAGAGCAGACGACGAGCAGAAACGTTTGGAAGAGCAGACGACAATTCGAACAATCAAGCGGCCGTTTGAACTTGAAGACGCACTGAACGTAGTCCGCAGGTGGTCCGTACAACTTGACGATTTCCCGGCGCTCATTTTGGAACCAAACAAATAAATCTGATGACCACAAGTATCCGTGAATTCAACCCAAAATGCTTCCCGCCCAAGCAATCGTATTCCGACGGCGTCTGGTTTTCCCTTTTCACGGCAGATATCCACGTTCTCGGACGAACCGAGAGCAAAAAAACTGACCTTCAAATCTTTCTCGACACTTTTGGTACAGCCCCACTCGCAGCATTTTGACGAGAAGGCAGGTTTTTGTCTGGTTCCTTTCAAAACAACGCAGGAATACACGTCTCACATGGGCACTTCTGCCCACAGCCCCGGACCGGAAGTGCGTCCGACGCGCCACCACCGCGACGTGACGTAACAGAGATGAGTTCGTGTATATGGGAGCAAATACGGGCAGATATCGACATATAAGTGGCAAATGCTGCCAAATTCGGTTGTATAAGTGCGTAAATACGGCCATATATCCCCATATACGCGTGAAAATACAGCCATATACCGCGGTATAGAAGTTCAAATACTGCCATATTTAGCCCGTTGACGGTATATATGGCAAAAATATATCCCCTAATAATGATATATGGGGTTTTTAGAGCGCAGCTCTTAGGGGCCCGTTTCCAGCCTGAGCGGCGTCGCCGTTGGCGTCGGCGTCGGCGTCGGCGTCGGCGTAACCGCGCCCCTCCCTCTCCTCCTCCTCCCTCTCCTTCTCCCCCTCCTCCTCCCCTCCTCCTCCTCCCCCTTCTCCCCTCTCCTCCTCCTCCCCCTCTTCCTCCTCCCCCTCCTCCCCCTCCTTCTCCTCCTCCTCTCCTCATTGTCCGGCTTGAGCGGCAAGGAGGAAAGCAGTGCGAAGGTGGAGGAGGGGGGAGGAGAGACGAGGAGCCGGAGGCGAGGGGGGGGAGGAGCTTGGAGGACGAGGAGGTGGTAAAGGAGAGGGAGTGGGAGCGGGAGGCGAGGAGGACTAGCAGGCATGATCACGAGGGAGGAGGAGGAATATACCCTCCACTCCTCCTCCTCAAGAGCTGCGCTCCAATTCGGCGTTACAGGAAGTTGTAAACGGCTTTCACTTTTTTTTTCGTGCAAGCAAGAAGTCATATGTACTCACCAAGACACTAGTTGATTGATCTATATTGCATGAGTCTCATGTAATTGGTTAACTATTGTTCTGAAGATTGAAATACAAATGAAATTTGGTTGTATGTTAGACGTGTGATAATATGACGAAGTCCATAAGATCGAAAAGTGAGCTAATCAGATAATGGATTTTAGATCGCAGCACTTAGGCCCCCGTTTCCGCGTTAAGCGGTGTCGGCGTCCCCGTCGGCATCGGTGTAACCACCCCGCTAAATTTAGCGGGAAATTGAATTGGTGCTAACGTCACGTGACGTCAATTTTCCCGCTAAATCTAGCATTGGAACTAATTTTGTTCATGTTTCCCCGCTAAATTAAGCGGGGAAACACGAACCGTTAGCTTACTGAAGATGCAAGCCGCTACTTCGTCGTCCCGAATCGTTTTCCCTTCGAACGGCTGCGAAGCCAGTGCGCCCGGAGTACCCTACGCAGCATCTTTAAACAACCGTTCGCGCAGCATCGCAACCTTCCGTTTGCGAGCGTCGGCGATTCATTGTGTGTTCAAAGTCGTAAGGTGTGCTGTCCGTGGTGTCTTTTATGTGTAACTATTTCATAAAAAAATCTGAACTTTAAAAACGCGAACCTAACGGTGTTTACATAATTTTAAATTTATTGGTAATATATATATATATATATATATATATATATATATATATATATAGGTAAAGTAAGGTAAATATAAAAACAATGGACCGGGAAAAGTTAATAAGTCAAAGATGCGTACTGTCGGAGTTACTAATTCGAAGTTTATTACGACGTTTCGAGCGGGGAACGCTCTTCATCAGGTAGCGAGTGTACAGCCCGCGTATGTTTATATACCCCTAAGAAGAAATTAGAGGGAGTAAAGTGCAGTAGGAAACGGAAACAGCTTTGACAAAACGGATAGCTTACAAAGAAAGGAAAGGGCACCAAAAACTTGCAAATGCATAAAAAAAAATCAGTTTGCAAACAGAGATATTTTACGCTAATGCGCGCACAAAAAAAAAAAGTTGGTGGAGAGTTTTTTTTTTCTCGCACAAAAAAAAAGTGTTTGAAAGTTTTGGGTTGGGAAGGAGTGGCTCGTCTTCAAACCAGAAATAGGATACATGTAACCACCGACGCCCCCGAATCCCGTGACATTCCTTTGTGCTAGAGATCGAAGTTTTAGGTGGATTAACACTTTGGGGGATTTTCCCTTGGATAAGGAGTAATAGGATGTGACAGTCTATGCCTGCCTGAGATTAACCGCTTGAGCCGCATTTATCCGTTTTGGACGTTCTCTTCGGACTTAAACGCATTAGGATGTAGTTTAACTATC